CATGTGACTAAACCGGGTTTGATTTCCGGCACGCCAAGCTATGGTCTCCTGAGCCCTGCCAGGAGCGATCCCTGAGTGCAGAGTCCGAAGTAAGCCTGAGCACAGAAGGTGTGGCCCCCAAACCAAAACTGTGGCACTGTCCTCCTATTGTTCATCGATTTTTCTCAAGCGGGCACCAGTAATGGCCCCATTGTGAGACTTGTTACTGTTTTTGGCATATAAAGTAAAAAGAAAAGGCCCTCCTGTTGATCTTCGATTTGCTCGAGCGGGCCCAGTAACGCCTCCATTGGAGACTTTGTTGTTACTGTGTCTGGCATATCGAATACGTCACGGGGAGCTTGCCAGGCTCTGCCGTGCGGGCGAGATACTCTCAGTAGCTTGCCGGGCTCTCTGAGAGGGGCGGAGGAATCGAACTCGGGTCGGCCATGTCGGCTGCGTGCAAGGCAAACGCCCTACCGCTGTGCTATCACTCCAGCCCTGTTTTTGGCATATAAAATTTTAAAAAACCAATAATTTGAAAATTAAGAAATCAGGAGTTCCGGCTTCAGGGAACAGAGTTGCGCTGAGTCTGGGTGGCAGTGGAGAGGTCCTGCGTGTGCCACCCGTCAGGGCTGGTGGCCGACCTCGTTATTCATGCTCCTAAGTGTGATGCTTCGCTGTCACTGTCCAGCACATGCTCATCCCCCAGACTGGAGCCTTTTTTCTGGAATGTTAGAGTCACGTGGGGGCAGCAGAGGCCTCCGTCAAGCCCAGCTGCAGACATTAGAACTTTCTCCAGAAGGTTTTTTTCTCTGTGTGTTTTTCTTCCTTTTTGTTTCCAGAGTTGTGGAGGTTCCCTGAGTCGTACTGGGGAGCAAACCCAGGGACACCCCTGCCGGACCACCCACGTCACACCCCCAGCCCCAGAACAGGCCTTTTCTGTTTTTAGTAGCTGTCACCAGACACCAGGAAAGATCAAAGGCTCCACTCAGTCACAAGCCAGTGACTGCAGAGATGGGGCCTGCGGAGCAGAGGAGGGCAGCCGCTTTTAATTAAAAAAACAAGAAAAAGAGCATTTGTTAGAGTTTGGGCACACAAAAATGACAGTATCTTGAATTCCAATATACACCACCCTTTTCTTAAGAGAGAGTACTTCCTTTTGTCTGTTTTGTTTTTTGGACCTAGACTAAACGTGAGAGCCTGGCAAGCTGCCGAGAGTATTCAATATGCCAAACACAGTAACAACAAAGTCTCCAATGGAGACGTTACTGGGCCCGCTCAAGCAAATCGACGATCAACGGGAGGGCCTTTACCTTTAGACTAAACGTGCCACTCAGAGGCCTGTGTGTGTGTTGTGTACACTCCAGCCCCTTCAACTATCTCCCTGCCCCGTGTGTCTGTTTTTAAGCTTCATCTCAGTGGTGTCATCATTTGCCCTCTTTTGGAAAACTGCTCTTTCACTCTGTTGGCCTTCTGTTCAGATGGGAACTTCTGGTTGGTTCATTTTTCACTGCTAAGTATTATTCCCTTCACATTTAGCAACATTCTTCTCTGCACATGGGAAGCAATGCAATTTTGCAGTTTTTTTTTTCCACACTTGTAATTTGGGATGGTGTCTCTTTGCATGGGCCTTGTGCAAATGTGCAAGCATTTCTTCTGGTTATAAATATGGGAGTAGAACTGTAGGGGGTAGAAGATGGGGGTGGGTGCTCAGTCTATCTCTCCAGCCCCCTTACCCACTCACTCTTCTGTCGCTGCAGCCCCATGACTATGATGCATCTCATTGACTGTGATATTAGTGTTACAGTGGACCCCCATATTTCTCAAGTCTGCATTCCAGCCCCCCCGTGGATTTCTAAATCCAAGAGTGGGACTGACCCATATATATATATATATATATATATATATATAATACGTACACACATATATATGTACATATATATATACTTTGCTTTTTCCTATAAATACATGCTTATAATGGTTTAATTTTTTTTGTTTCATTTCATTTGTGGTGACATGCAGCAGTGCTGATAAATTACTTCTGGCTCTGTGCTCTGGGGTCACTCCTGGCAGTTCTTGGCATTGTATGTGGTGCAGGGAATCAAACCAGGGTCAGTTGCATGCAAAGCAAGAACCTTACCTACTGTCTCTAGCCCCAGTCAAGTTTAATTTTGAAATCAAAGTAATCACTTCTCAGTTTTTTGGCTGAGATTAGGTGTGAAATCAAAGTAAGAGATTAACAAAATCAACAAGAAAACAGCCACTGGCAATCAAAAGTAGTTGAATGTAGCACTGTAACACGGTCCTCCCATTGTTCATCGATTTGCTTGAGTGGGCCCAGTAACGTCTCCATGGTGAGACTTGTTGTTACTGTGTTTGGCATGTGGAATACGTCACGGGTAGCTTGCCAGGGCTGGAGTGATAGTACAGCAGGTAGGGCGTTCACCTTGCAAGCGGCCAATATGGCCGGCCTGAGTTCGATTCCTCCGCCCCTCTTGGAGAGCCTGGCAAGCTACCCCTGACATATTTGATATGCCAAACATAGTAACAATTGTCACAGTGGAGACGTTACTGGGCCCACTCGAGCAAATCGATCAACAACGGGAGGACAGTGACAGTGACAGGTATATGTCTTTTAGCTCCTGGTTGACCTTGGATAACAGCATCCCAGGAGGATGAGGTAGCAACAGCATGGGGGAGCAGGACGGCTGGACCTTGGGTGCCGTATTTCATCCTCTGCACAGGATTCTGGGAGTGGGCCTTACTGGCACCTACCCACAATGCTTCGGAGGAGACAACTGGAACTGCAGGCAGGGCCCTGCGAATTCCCCAGGCGCGCTTCTAACTGAGGCCTCCACCCCCGGCTAGACACGACTCCCCGGCCAGATGTGCAAGGGCCCTCGCCTCCTTCTTGCTGTCCTTGGTCTCACCTCCTCTGTGAGGCCCTGTCCCACTTGTCACTCTGTGATAGGAGCCAACCGCAGCCCTTGGTGTCCCTCACCTCATTCAGCTGTGTGCGTCTTTCAAAGAGCAGATCACGCACTCTATGTCACTTAGTGGCTGATTGCTGTGGCTGTTGTTTGTTTTTCCACTGCCACCCATAGAATATAACTTCAGCAAGGGCAGGATCTCGGTTCCTTGTTCAGAGCATTCTTCCTGGTACCCAGGGCAGCCGGGCCAGTACTGAGTGGTTGATGGAAGCAGAGGGATACCAGCACGATGCCATAGAGCACCTCCTGCCTTGCAACCTTGCATGCTTACAAGTCCCATATGTGCTGCGTGCGATTGGTGATCCCCAGTACCACAGGGTGGGGGGAGGGGGAAAAGGGAAAACAAATGAGCTGGAGTTCGCAAGAAAAAGAGAATAGAGCATTTCTGAGTGAGAAGAAATTCATGTGCCAACATCTAGAGACAATCTAGCATAGTCTCATGACCGGAAATGAGATGGAGTCAGAATACAAGTATGACTGTAACTACCTTTGTGAATGCTTTTGAGCCCATCAAGGGTGCTGGGACAGTTGCAAAAGATAAGCAGGAGCCATGAACAATCATTCAGACTTGTCTTGAGGACAGTCAGAGCCCTTAGAGAATTTCATCAAGGGAAGGGCAGAATCCTCTGCAGTTAGAAGCGCATCTCTCCTAGCACAGGGGTTAGGGATGAGAGAGGAGGGGGCGGGACTGGGGAACTGTCATAGTGATTGAGGGGAGGGGAGATGGTGGTTTCATCAGGAAGCAGCAGAAGAGATGTGGGCAATTTAGGGAAATGCTTAGCATGGTTCTGTCTTCCTGTGATCGCCGAAACAAGAATAATTTCTCCACATCTGGGCTTAGCTGAGCCAGGAGGCCATGCTTCGACTAAGCATGATCTTAAGTAATCAAATCGGAAAGCCCTCCAAAACACTCCAACCACATCTTCAATTTTCCCCCTGGTGAAAGAAATCTGGAGCCAGATTGCTATAATTCCAGAGTGGCGAGCTGCGGAGAGGGCAGCGCGCTGATTGAAGCCAAAGCTTTTGGAAGGAAGGTAGCATTCAGTGTCCAAGTTCCCGCAGCCTTCAAATCTTTTGTGCAAGTAAATTAGTTTCATTTGTCTTGGGGCACCTTTTCCAGGCCAGTTTCTTCCAAGTTGCCGGTGAATATTTCTCAGTGGTGTGTTTGGGGCTTGGCTCCATCTCCTTTATCTGGAAACAATCTCTTATTACAAGGAAATAGCTGGATGATGATTCTGGACTCTTGGACCCCAGTCACCTCTCAGCTGTTGACTTGGTATTCGATACCTTGGTAATTTTCTGTTTCATGCCCTCCTCTCCCCCTGGTTTCTCATTAATATGAATTTCATGCTGGGTGCTGACTTCATCCCTGCCAGCCTGGCCATCGTTAGCAGGACCTTTAGGGCTACCACCTGTCTCAAGGCTCTCCCAAGGTGTGATGAGGCCTGCGTGTTGTTTTCTCCGCTCACCTCGCAAACTTTCCAACTTCCCTGGGGTCTCGGTCATGCATTCCACGCCATCTGCAGTCATCCAGATGATGTGACTATCATGTTGCGGTTTCACGTGGGAAAGCCACAACACATCCTCCTCTCTTCCAGCTCGCATTCAAATCTATTTTCCATGGCCTGTGCAAGCAGGAGCCCCGCAGCCGAGTCTCAGCCGTCAGCGTTCAGCAATTTGATTTCCAAACACGGGCCCACAGTCAGCCAGCAGACACTGAACTACCGAGTGCTGGCAGAAACTGTCTCAGACACCTATAGCTGTCCAAACAGTGACTCAGCCCGTGATTGCCAGGATAAATATGGGAATAAATGGTATTTTTCTGTAAGCAGGAAGAATTGTCAAAATGCTTCTCACTTGATAAAATGTAACAGATTGTGCTTGTTCATGTTTTGAAACGTTCCAGCCATTTCCTCGCTGGGTTTCTTTATTTGTTTTCCCCTTTGGAGTTTAGTAATGGCATTAAGTGTTGTTTTGTTTTGTTTTCTTTCCAGGAGAATTAAGTGCTTTGTTTTGTTTTTTTCTTTCCAGGAGACCCGGGGAACCCAGGCATTTCCCAGCAGTGCTGCCGCCCAGGTTCTGGATCCACCTGGCCGCGGTGGCTTGTGGGGACCGGCTGGAGGAGACGCTGGTCATGCTCAAGTCAGCCGTGCTCTTCAGCCACAGGAAGATCCAGTTTCACATCTTCACGGAAGAGTCTCTGAAGCCAGAATTTGATAAGCAGGTGAATTTGCAGAAACCATGACACACGGGATCTTTTACAGATGTCTGAGAGACTACTGGGGAATGCACGCTCTTGCTCACGCATGTATCTTGCGGCACATTCAACTGTGAGACTGTGAGCCCTTGACACTGGACCTTGTGGTCCTCATCCATAGAATTGGGACAACGACCCCTGCTTTAGAGTTGGTGAGGATTATCTGAAATGATGCCCTTCAAGCCCTTCAACCCAGAGCTGACGCCCTCTAGTGGTTATTCGTGATGAATGTGCTTTTCTTTGCACATTCTTTCTAGAATTGTAGTTAGAAGTGTGCTTAAGGAGTATACTTGTGTATGTGTATGTGTATATGCATGCATATACCCAGATTAAAGTGTACTTCTTTTGGGGCTGGAGCGATAGCACAGTGGGTAGGGCGCTTGCCTTGCACGCGGCCGGCCCGGGTTCAATTCCCAGCATCCCATATGGTCCCCTGAGCACCACCAGGGGTAATTCCTGAGTGCAGATCCATAAGTAACCCCTGTGCTCGCCAGGTGTGACCCAAAAAGCAAAAAAAAAAGCACTTCTTTTATAAAGTCAGGATTATTCTCACTGCCAGGAGTGACCCAAGAGCAGAGTCAGGAGTAGCGCTCAAGTACATGGTTGTGGATCTACCATCAAAGCATCAGCGTCATTCCAAGACAGGACTCATGTTCATGTGACTGTATTATAATGGTTTGATTAGTCTGAGAAATGATTGAAAAGATGATCTAGGGGTCAGAGAGATAGTACAGAGATTAAGGCTTGCCTTGCACGTGGCCAAGCCCAGTTCAAATCTCCAGCTCCACACAGGTTCTACACCACATAGAATCACCCCCTGAGAATCATCAGAAGTGACCCCTGAGCACAGAGTAAGGAGTTTAACCCTGAGCATCACCGGGCTTAAGATCCTCTGTGATCAGGATAGGCTAGGGCAGGCTGCAGAAACCAGGAATGAGGTCAGCAAACAGGGGGCTCAGCAGGTGTCCATGCCCAGTTGCCTGCAGGCTTGTGGTTCTGTCCACTTCGACACTAAAGTGTGGGGCCAAAGTTGCAGAGACTCTAAAGTTATGGCTGCGCTGCTGGAACATTTTGTTCTATCTAGTTCTTGGGGTGCTGTAATGAAAAGAGGGATCACAACAGTGCCTTTCAGTCCCCGAAAGATTATATATATCTTTCATATATATATGAATATATAAAATATATACATTGTGACATTAGCACAAGGCCTTTCCCTTCAGGTTTAACCAAGCAGAAGCAGCCCCAAGGCCCACAAGGGGTCAGAACCACTGTGTGAGCAGGAGCAGAAGGCTACTTATCCTAGAAAATGTTCGTATTGTTTCAGATAAGTCCATGTTACACGTATTTATTGAGAAGCGATAGCACAGCGGTAGGGCGTTTGCCTTGCACGCAGCCAACATGGCCGACCCGAGTTCGATTCCTCCGCCCCTCTCGGAGAGCCGGGCAAGCTACCCAGAGTATCTCGCCCGCACGGCAGAGCCTGGCAAGCTTCCCGTGACGTATTCGATATGCCAGACACAGTAACAACAAAGTCTCCAATGGAGACATTACTGGGCCCGCTCGAGCAAATCGACGATCAACGGGAGGGCCTTTACTTACTTACTTACTTATTGAGAACCTACTACATACTGCAAATGGGTCTGTGAAGATAACAGAATAAAATAAAAAGAGAAGTGGCCGGAGCGATAGTACAGTGGGTAGGGCATTTGCCTTGCACACGGCCAACCCAGGTTTGATCTTCGGCATCTCATATGGTCCTCTGAGCACCGCCAGGAGTGATTCCTGAGTGCAGAGCCAGGAGTAACCCTTGAGCATCACTGAGTGTGATAGAGAGAGAGAGAGAGAGAGAGAGAGAGAGAGAGAAGAGGTGTATCATGAACACTTGGCAGGGTTTTTTTTAAAGAGGCTCCCAGTTTTTCCACTCGGGTTTATTATAACCCTGAGTTCTTTCACCCTAAGAGCAAACCGGACAGCATAGGAAGGAAGTAGTAGGCACCACTCTCTGAGATCAGCTGAAAAGACACCAGCTCCTTCTGTCTTGGTTGCCTTCTCTTTCTCTCTCAAATCACTTGCTCTGGAGAAGCCAGATGTCATGTCAGAGAGCCTGGAGAAATTGATGAGCTTTGTTTATTGTGATATTTTGTTTTGTTTGCAGCGGGGATCTTGTGCTAAACCTGGTGATATACAGGAGATACTCAGGGTTCTGTGCTCAGGGATCTTTCCTGGCAGTGCTGGGGGATCAAACTGAGGTTGACTGCGTGCACAGCAAGTGCCTTACCCTCTGTATTATCTCTCTGGCTCCAAGAAGTCCATACCAAGGCAGGAAAGCCTTTGGCAGCACTCATCAAAGAGATGGAACCTCCAGCCCATTGGAGGCTTCAGATGACTGTAACCCCAGACAGTTGCTGGCCTGTGTAAGCTAATGAGAAAGCCCCGGGTTCTGACTCTAAGGAACTTCAAGAAATTATCAGTAGTTGTGGTTTTAAGCAAGTACATTTTGGAGTTATTTATTAGAAGCCAATAACCAATGGATGCACATCTACTGCCTAATATTGCGTGTTGATAAAGTCAAACAAAAGCTTTGTGACAGGCAGAATGTAGCACCCACCTGGCTATTGAGATGTCCTCCTGTTTCAGGAAGCTGGTCAACAGATTGCAAGGAAACCCCTCCTAGTATGAACAGAGAGAGCTCTTAGAGCTGAGGTCCATGCCTGGTGAGCCTCAGTCCCAGGTATGAGCGAATGAGGCATCAGATGTTTCCCTCCCTGGGTCTTGGGGAATTTGGGGCATGGCTCCCACAGCATGGGACAATCAGTCCTCACCCTGTTGCCTGGACGAGCTCCTGATCCAGGACTTGATACATGGAATCAGTAGATATCCCACAGCTCTAAGTTTGGGGGAAATTGGTTGTGAGCCAGAGTAAGTGGACCTTTATTGGTGAGGCACTACTTCTTGTGGGAGACTCTGTCAATCCTTGGATCATCTTGAAGACCTTCTCCCATGGGTGCTTATTTCCTCAAATTTTATTAGAGCGGGGAAACTTAGCTAACAAAGAAAATGATGATAATGTGGGTGGCATAGCTGGGGTGGGGAGTGACTTTTGGTTTGTCACACTTTCATTTCCATGCAGAGTTTATGTGCCATTTAGATTTAAAATCTTGACTTCTTTTGTTTTGTTTTGGGCCACACCCGATGATACTCAGGGGTTACTCCTGGCTCTGCACTCAGGAATCACTGAGTATATGTGGGATTCTGGGGATGGAATGCTGGGGATCAAACCCGGATTGACTGCATGCAAGGCAAGCACCCTACCTGCTGTACTATCTTTCCAGCCCTGAAAACCTTGACTCTTATCTAAGTCACAGAACTTCTTTCCATCCCAGCTCCTTCATCTGTATCCAGGGACAAATGATTTCTGTTGCTGCTGCAGCATCTCATTTCAGGTTGAGTCTATGTGCTCTCCCAGGCCCTAGATTCTTTGGAACATTTCTTCTACTTCGGATACTGTGTCGGGCCTCAAATAATGACTCAGCCTCAAATGATGCTTTACTTCATGCCAACCTTTTAGACTATCGTTGTGGGAATAGCTGAGTTTCTTGTAATAACTTCCTGAGAAGCTCAGGCCACACTTCTAAGGGTGAAAACAAACAAAACAAAATGCCAATTGCTATCATGTTCCCTTAGGAAACTGCATCAAGGACTGCTTCTGGTATATTCAGTCAGTTTCTAAGGCCGCATAAGTACAATGTGTCTGGTGATATTTACCGTCTATATTGTACATACTTAATATTTAAGTTTCATTTATTTTTGTCAGCTCCCGACATAGAAGCTGAAATGCCAGCTGGTTGACTTCCTTGCTGCTCCAGCTGCTCTGAATCAGGCACATAATTTAGGTTTAGCTCATCTCTGCTCTTGCCCCAGATCCAGACAGGAAATAGTGACCCCAGAAGCAGAGATGGTCACCACCCCTTTCTGGTGCTTGGTGAAGCCAGCAGGCAATAACATCCTGTGCATGCGGGTGCACACATGGTATGGCAGAGGTGTCTCTAGGAATCTCTAATAGCCGGAGTCAGTCAGTATGCTCTTCAAAGAGATGCAACAACACTGACCGGGCTGGAGAGAGTGTAGAGCGGGGAGAGCAATCATCTTGCTTGTGGCCAGTCTAAGTTTGAGCCCCTGCACCCCATAAGGTCTTCCCAGTCTGCCAGTAGTGTTCGCTGAGCACAGAGCCAGGAGTAAGTCCTGAGCACCACCAGGTGTGGCCCCAACACAAACAAACAAAGCCCTACACAAATGGACTAAAACTCCACTTACAGAACTGTAGCACTGTAGCACTTTCCTCCCATTGTTCATCAGTTTGCTCGAGCGGGCACCAGTAACATCTCCATTGTGGGACTTGTTGTTGCTGTTTTTGGCATATTGAATATGCCACGGGGAGCTTGCCAGGCTCTGCCCTGCAACGGGATATGCTTGGTAGCTTGCTGGGCTCTCCGAGAGGGATGGAGGAACCGAACCGGGTGACTTACAGAACATAGATCAACAAAGGGAGACAAATCCTTCTAGAAAACTCATGACCAACGATGAAGGAAACCTGTAGTCCTGGGGAACTTCATGTTTCTCTATGGACAGCTTGGGGCTTTGCGCCCCATCCACATTCTAATGGGTTGGTCCCGCTGCACTGTTTATGCGCCATCAGCTCAGATGTGTCCATGTACTTGTACTGGGCATTTGTGCCTGTTTAGGCAGTGGCTGATCAGGGTCTGTCATGAATCAGTTGTCAAATGCCTTGACTACTGCTCCTTCCACTTCTCTGAAATTTCTCTTTGATTACCTCAAACTTGATGATTTCATCTAAATAGCCTGACCTGTCAGTTTTGAGATAGCTCAAAGGGCTGGAATACACTGTGTGGGCCACTGACACAACCAGGAGCAACCCCAAGCATTGAGCCAGTCCTGTGGTGCTGCCACGTGTGGGCCAGTGCCCAGCCCCATGGAGAACAATGTTGCTGTCTTTGTTTACATGTCTCTTAATATCAACATCAGAAAATGGGGTCCCATTCTCCTGTATTCTCCTTTATATCACTCATAATTACATTACTGAGTCTATTATAAAGCAAGATGAAACTCTCGGTAAAAGACCAGATATTTTAGGAGTCAGAGATAGTACAGGGGTTAAGGCACTTACCTTTTTTCAACCAACCCTGCTTTAATCCCCAGCACCACAATTGTTCCCCCTGGCACCACCCTGGAACATTCCTGAACACAGAGCCAGGAGTAGCTCCTGAGCACCACAGGTATGATCCAACCTCTACCCACACTCAAAATAAGATCACAGATATTAGACTCTGCAGGCTTTTTGGTGTCATAGAAACTCACTGTTACAATTCCATAGAAATATGGTGTGGTTTCATACAACAACAACAACTTTTTTTAGGAATACTTGAGTTCAGATTTGCTCGAGCGGGCCCAGTAACGTCTCCATTGGAGACTTTGCTGTTACTGTGTCTGGCATATCGAATACGTCACGGGTAGCTTGCCGGGCTCTGCCGTGCGGGCGACATACTCTCGGTAGCTTGCCAGGCTCTCCGAGAGGGGCGGAGGAATCGAACTCGGGTCAGCCATGTTGGCTGCGTGCAAGGCAAACACCCTACCGCTGTGCTATCGCTCCAGGCTCCAGCCCATGTCACATGATATTGCTCTTGTGTTTGTCTTTTTAAAGTATATAAAAAAAACCAGTCTAGGCTATATGCTCTTTGAGCAAGGCTGGATTTGGTTTTTGCTCTGCTATACTTTGCTAACCCTCATTGTATAACATTGTCACAAGCAGCTGCATGGGATTCAGTAGTGTAGATAATAATGAAGAGCTTATTTAACTAACCTCTTAGGTTGTTTGACAATTTTGGGTTGTTTGCAAGAAATATGTGTGCACTTTTGAAACTTTTCCTAAGGATAGATTCTTAGAATTGTTGTAGGAATAGGAAGACATTAACTCAAAAAAATTAAGAAAATATAAAAATGCAAATAAACATTAGAGAAGGTACTGACAGGATGTGTCCTTTGGAAAATTCAGATCAAAGGAACAATGAGATACTTCTGCATGCCTGCCAATGTGCCAAAATCCACAACACCAACAACATCAAATGCTGACAAATACGTGGAACTAGCCAAACTCACTCATTTATCCCTGGAAGTGCAATCTATAAGGGCAGTTTGTGAAATAGGCTTATTAGAAAGCCAAACATAGGCAGGTTGTACGATCCAGTGATCACAGTCCTTAAACTGAAAAATTCTGTCTATAACAAAAGACTGAACTTGAATATATATTCATCATCACCCCATACTGGAAGCAAACAAGATGTCCTTCAATCACAAATGGATAAACAAACTGTGATATGTTCATATACTAGAATTCTCATTGATGATGATACAAATGATTAAGATATCAAGCCACAAAAAGACATTGAGGAAACTTAACTACATATTGCTAAGTAAAAGAAGCCAGTCTGAAAAGGCTCTATAATGTGTAAGCCCAACTGTATTTCAGAATCCTATTCTGAACAAGGCAAAACCAAGAGGGAATAAGATCAAGAGGAAAGGTGGGGCCAGATAGCACAGCAGGTAAGGCACTTGCCTCACACTCGGCTGACCTTGATTCAATCCCCAGCACTCCATGTGGTCCCCCTGCATATCATGAATGATCCCTGAATGCAGAGCCAAGAGTAAGCCCTGAGCACCACCAGGTTTGACCCAGAAACAAACAAAAAGGAAAAGGTCACTATTGCTAGAAGTTCAGGGAATAGGGAAGGAGGAAGGGATTAATGAGTGGAACAGAGACATTGTTAGGTAGTTTTACTCTGCAAAATATTGTGATGGTAGATATAGGAAATTAAGCACTTGTCAAACCCCATAGAATTGTACAAAGCAAAGGGTAAACCCTAAAATAAACTAGGGACTTTACTTAATCATTGATATTGGTGTTGATTTATCATTTGAAACAGATGTACCACATTAGGGCAAAATGTTCATAATGGGGGATGCGGGGGTGGGAGAGAAGGGAGGAGAATACTAAGGTCTCTACTTCCTGCTCAATTTTCTATAAAACTGCTTTGAAACGTAAAGTAAAGGTAAGGTAAAGGTAAAGGCCCTCCCGTTGTTCATCGATTTGCTCGAGCGGGCCCAGTAACGTCTCCATTGGAGATTTTGTTGTTTCTGTGTTTGGCATATCGAATACATCACGGTAGCTTGCCAGGCTCTGCCGTGCGGGCGAGATACTCTCGGTAGCTTGCCGGGCTCTCCGAGAGGGGCGGAGGAATCGAACTCAGGTCAGCCATGTTGGCTGCATGCAAGGCAAACGCCCTACCGCTGTGCTATCGCTCCAGAAACGTAAAGTATACTAATTAAAATAATTCTTATAAAATTCATATGTGTGAAGAAAATAACATATACTTAGAGTAAAATTTCCAAAGAATATTGGAGTTTAAACTTAGAAAAGAAAAACAGAGGTCCCCACTTTCACCTCCACTTGCCACAATTTGGTGCACATTTTGGTTCAGTTTTTTCTCTATTTTTTTTTTTAGAAAACAAAAACCATAGGATAAGTTTTTTTTTTACCGCTTTCTAAAATCTAATTATATGTCATGGCTCTTTTTTCCATGTTTTCTGCATTTTAACTGCACATTACTCCATTATACTCCATTATGTAGTATTATCATAATTCATTTTCCCAATGCCTTAATTCAGTATCTAAATTGTTCCTAAGATTTTGTTATTATTGTTATTTTTAGTATAAGTCAAGTTTTGGTACAAATTCTACCTTCATTTTTTTTGGTATTTGTTGCTACCAATTTCCAATGTCCTCTTGAAAGTTGGTTTAAATTAATAGACTTCTTGGTGTATTTATGTGCCAATTTTCTGTCATTCTTGACAACTCTGGTATTATTATTGCAAATCCTGCCAAGCTCAAATCTTTTTGTTCAGTGACCATCAGTATTGGCAGTGAACTAAGACTTGCTGTGTAAGTTGCCTGAGTCCTTCCCACTAGTTATCCAGAGGTTTTCAGCATTTCTAGTTCTAGTTCTAATCATGTTTCTCTTGTCTTTCTTATTTTTCAGCTGCAACAGTGGCCTGACTCATATAGAAAGAAATTTGAGCACAGGATCTACCCCATCTCATTTTCAGTTGGGAATCCTCAGGAATGGAAGAAATTGTTCAAACCCTGTGCTGCGCAAAGGCTCTTTTTGCCGGTAGGAACACTTACTTTTCATGATATGCTGCCTGGGAGAAAGGTGCCCTTTGAAATGTGCAAGTTGGAACTTGTTGTTGGGAGGCCATACCCAGAAATGCTCAGTTCTTACTCCTGGCTTTGAGCTCAGGGATCATCGTGGTGAGCTCCTGGTGAGTGTGGGGGACCATTAACTGGGGTGCGTTTCAAGATGGTGTAATTGCAACTAGAAATAGATTTCTCTTGAGTTCTGTGATAGCTACTCTGCCAGTGCAGGATGTAAAAAATGTGGTCCCTGTTTCTGAGAGTTTGTCTTCTCCAAGCACCAAGGGACTGAGAATATGTAAAGCAGGTTTGGGGTTGTGGACTTTGCAAGTTTGGCTTCACCATGAATTTGGGATTTTAGTGCCATCTTTTCCAGCCATGTGACTACAACTTCTCTAGCCTTTTGTTGCCTTCAGAGGTTTATCACATACTTGGCCCTCAATAAATGTTAGCTTCAGTCAGTATTATTGCTCTTATAGCAATGACTACTAGGTATAGTCACGTGAGGGGCTAAATCAGAAAAGGTCCAGAATTCTGGTTCACCTCTCAGGTTTGCATTTTTGTTATTATTGTTGTTTGGGGGCCATATCCAGAAATACTCAGGTTTTACTCCTAGCTGTGAGCTTAGGGACCACTCCTGGTGAGCTTGGGGGATCAGATAGGATGCCAAGGATCAAACGGGTTGGTTGCGTGCAAGGCAAGTGCCTTCTCTGCTGTACCATCTCTCCATCCCCAAGGTTTGACCTTTTTAGAGGAATATTTTTGTTTCCTTTTTCAAAATTTCAAACAAAAATACCACTAAAGACCTATTGAAATAGAGACTACCAAGGAAAGTTGGCAACTCTGGATTGTGAATTACAGTGTTGCTGTTGAGGAATGGTCCATGCCCAATGCAGACATCTCCTGAGTGACCTTTAGGGGCAGGGCCCTTACGGGTGGGGGGGCTGTGTGAGCCAAGTGGGTTAGAGTGTTAGTCTAACAAGACAGTGAACTGAGAAATGTTGTCAGTGCTGAGGTGGAGAACAGAGTTTCAGGGATGTCAGTACATGGGACTCCACTCTGATGTGGGAAAGGGCACGGAAGGTTCACTGAGGCCTCATTTTTATGCTAAGACAAGAATAAAGGGGAAATGGGTATCAGTGAGTGACAACAACATCAGGGTCATGAGAGAGAAGATGTAAAGATCCTTGGGAGATGGGAAGAAACATGTCTGAGAAGATCATAGTAACCAGGAAATAGAGTTTCAAATGGGATTGAAGAGTCAGTAGCCGCTGGAACTTGCATGCTTTCTAAGCCATGTTGGGATATCTGGGTTTTGTGTGAAAGGAAGGAAGTAAGCCACTGAATATGTTTGTGGAAGTGGAATTGTCTGAATTGTGTTTTAAAGAGGACAGACCAAGCAAGAAATGTGAAGTGGAGTAAGGAAAGCCTCTTTAACAAATTGTGCTGGCATCACTGGACAGCTACATGCAAAAAAATGGGCTCAGAACTCTGCCTAACACCATGTACAAAAATAAGATCATAATGGATTAAAGACCTCAACATCAGACCAGACACCATAAGGTACATTGAAGACAAAGTTGGCAAAACCCTCCATGACATTGAGGCTAATGGTACTTTCAAAGATGCCACGCCACTGGCCAAGCAAGTGAAAACAGAGATAGATAAATGGGACTATCTTAAACTAAGAAGCTTCTGCACCTCCAAAGAAACAGTGACCAAAATACAAAGACAGTCTACAGAATGGGAAAGGATATTCGCCGAATACACATCTGACAAGGGGTTGATAACAAGGATATACAAAATTCTGGTGGAACTCCACAGGAAGAAAACACCCAACCCCATCAAAAAATGGGGCAATGAAATGAACAGAAACTTTCTCAAAGAAGAAATCCGAATGGCAAAAAAGCACATGAGAAAATGCTCTACATCATTAATCATCAGGGAGATGCAGATCAAAACCACAATGAGATACCATCTCACACCTCAGAGACTGGCCCACACTCAAAAGAACAAAAGCAACCGATGCTGGCGCGGATGTGGCGAGAAAGGGACACTCCTTCACTGTTGGTTGGAATGCCGACTAGTTCAGCCCTTTTGGAAAACAGTATGGACGTTTCTCAAAAAATTAGAAATTGAGCTCCCATTTGACCCAGCGATACCACTCCTGGGAATATGCCCCAGAGAGGCAAAAATGTGTAGTCGAAGTGACATCTGCACTTGTTTGTTCATTGCAGCACTCTTTACAATAGCCAGAAACTGGAAGAAACCTGAGTGCCCAAGAACAGATGACTGGTTAAAGAAACTTTGGTACATCTACACAATGGAGTACTATGTAGCTCTTAGAAAAGATGAAGTCATGAAATTTACATACAAGTGGTACAATATGGAAAGTATCATGCTAAGTGAAATGAGTCAGAAAGAGAGGGATAGACATAGAAAAATTGCATTCATCTGGGGGATATAAAGCAACAAAATATGAGATCAATACCTAAGAATAGCTGAGATCAACACCAGGAGGATTACTCCATAGCTTAGAGGCCAGCCGGATATTCTAGGGGAAAGGGCAGTTCAGATAGAGAAGGGAACACCAAAGAAAGGGTGTTTGGAGGACCCTCCCAGGAGGGGAGATGCATGTTGAAAGTGGACTATGGACTGAACATGATTGCCACTCAATGCCTCTTTTGCAGACCACAACACCCAAAAGGAGAGAGAGAACAAAGGGGAATGCCCTGCCACAGAGGCAGGGTGGGAGGGGGGGTGGGGGGAAATGGGCACTGGTGGAGGGATGGGTATTTGATCATTGTATGACCGAAACTCAAGCACAAAGATTTGTAAATCTACAACTGTACCTCATGGTGCTTCACTAATAAAAAAAAAAAAGAGGACAGACCAAGGGTGGGAGTGTGATTTCAAGTGGTAGAGCATGTGCCTTGTGTGTGGAAGGTCATGGCTTGGAGCCCTGCACCCTGCCAACCCCCAAAGCATTATTAGTAGTAGGTGGCTGCTGAGAACCATCTAGAGTGGACCCATGACAGCTAACCAAAATAGAGAGGACACACCAGGGCACGACCTTGTGGACAGTAGACTTGCCACAGTCAATTAATGATGACTGTGATGGTTACTTGGAGAAGGATTGAGAACTAGCCTGGGGAATAGTTCTCATGATTGGCTGATTCTAAGAGTTGGAAGGGGAGGAGGAAATAAATATTTCAACCAGGTTTCTAGTCTAAGTTACTGTTACGTATAGTCTGTTTGAAATTGTCAATATTCAATTATTTATAGACCTACACAAAAGGCCGTTTTAGATGGTTCTACCTATTAATGAATGGTGTTGCTATTATGAGACAGGAAAGACCAGGAAAGTTCACGTTTAGCAAGGGGTGGGGAGATGAATTTAATTGGGTCACATTTTGATGATTGTGGTTTCTGGGAAATACATATACAGGGAGCCTTATTACGTCTTTGAAATCTTCAGTGACAAATAGCACTTTGGACATTTTCTACACAAAACCTGTAAGAAGAACAGGGTGGACAGTTAGTGCTGATTTGCTGTCAAAGTTCACTCGCTCATTCAATAGCTTCTTTTTTTCACAATCCATAGACCTATATACATGTTGTGAAATGGAACTTTAATGCATAAAAAAAAATGGAGCTAAAGAGAAGAAGGTCTCCTTTTGGCAGAAATGTGTCTGGACTCCACAGTAGGTTACTGTCGCCGGGCCACCCCAGGGGGGAAAGGGTGCTGTCCCTCCGTCTGCTTCCCCTCGGTGGGTGCCATCCTCCAGAGGCCATTGGACAGTAGGACTTGGGCCCGCAGTGACGAAATTTGTTGGGCCTCACGGGATGGGGGTGGAGCCGTTTCTGTCCTCCCTGTCCCAACAAGACCCCAAGTCATCGTCCACAAACAGCCTCTCTGTCTCCTAATCAAGCTGCTTAACAGCCATGATCCCAGAGACTCAGAAACAAATCTCGAAACCCAATGGCTTTTGGCAGAAATGCATCGAACCCCACAGTAGGTTACTGTTGCCAGGCCACCCCAGGGGGGAAAGGGTGATCAAGCTGGTTCCTGATCAAGCTGCTTAATGGCCATGGTCCCAGAGACTCAGTAGCAAACCTTGGAACCCAGCAGATTTTGGCAGAAATCCCTCCAGATTTAAGTGTTAAAATTTCGGAATTTCAAAATCACGCGACCACTACTGCAGCCATGCAACATCATATGTTATTCATAATCAGCAATAGAAAACAAATTGTCTACTGTTGCCTTTTCAGCAGATCTGAATGTTGGGGTAAAATCTCAAATAATAATGGTGGATCGGGTGTCAAAATATTGAATGTGATCAAAGTAGAGAGAGAGAGAGAGAGAGAGAGAGTAATGTGGAAATCATCTGCCCCACAGGTAGGGGGAGGGTGTGGGATAGGGGTATACTGGGGTTTTTGGTGAGAGAATGGGCACTGGTGAAGGTATGACTGTTTCATTGTATGACCAAGACTTAAGCCCGAAAGCTTTGTAACTGCTCTCACGGTGATTCAGTAAATAAAATTATAAAAAATAAAAAAAAAAGAGAGAAGAAGGTCTCAGGACTGGAGTGATAGCACAGCGGGTAGGGTGTTTGCCTTGCACACAGCCGACCTGGGTTCAATTCCCAGCATACCATATGATCCCCCGAGCACCAGCAGGAGTTATTCCTGAGTGCATGAGCCAGGAGTAAACCCTGTGCATCACTGGGTGTGACCCAAAAAAGAAAAAAAAAAGAGAAGACGGTCTCAACACAAAAATCTCGAGGGTAGAGGTGTGAATAAATAAACAAGTGCCACAGCCAGGAATGTGTGCCAGCCCTCAGTCACCACGGTGGCAGCAACAGCAATGATGGGAGAAGGGAGGGGGGTGGAAATTAAAATAAATAAAAAATAAATACATATCAATAGGAGATGTTACTGGGCCCGCTCGAGCAAATCGACGATCAACGGGAGGGCCTTTACCTTTACCTTACCTTATCAATAGCAGTTTTCACACATGACATTTTGAATCCTCAATGAGCTATATTAGTCTTAGGGGTCATTTAAAATAGATCTCAATGGTACGTTCCCTAAATTTCATCTCTATAAAACCAAATCAGGTATGCTGCTGATGTGCAAAGCAAAAATGATGTTCCAAAAAAAATCATAAGATGTAAATGGGCTGGAGCAATAGCACAGTGGTAGGACGTTTGCCTTGAGCACAGCCAGCCCAGCCGAGCTGGGTTCAATTCCTCCGCCCCTTTCAGAGAGCCCAGCAAGCTACCAAGAGTATCTCGCCCGCATGGCAAAGCCTGGCAAGCTACCCGTAACCTATTCAATATGCCAAACACAGTAACAGTAACAGGATGTAAATATTTCAGCAGGTGGTTTATCAATTGACGAAGACATCCAGTTTTGCCCATTTTCTAAGGAAGTGTGCTCTGCTCCAAACTTACCAAAGAAATCCTATTCTCATATGAGATTTTACTATCAGAATAAACTTTTTTCTTTTTTTTTTCAGAATAAACTTTTAAAAACCTAATAAAATCAGGAGTCAGAAATGACAGTTCAGCAGATAGGCCATTTACCTTGCGTATGTCTGACCAGGATTCGATCCCCATCATCCTATATGGTCTCCCAAGCACCACCAAGAGTAATTCCTGAGTGCAGAGCCAAGAATAACCCTTGAACATTGCCAACTATGGCCCAAAAACAAAAACAAAAAAAAAAATCCTAATAAAATCAGAGTCCAAGTGCTTGCAATCCAAGCATATCAAATTCTCAGGTGCAATTAGTGGAATTCAGACCCCATCAATTCATAATTTACAAAGTCTTATAAAATCAATGGATCTTATAAAATCAATGGATGTTTACTTCTCAACATCTGTGAATGTAGAAAAGAAGACCATTAGTAGTGCAGAGCAAATTGCAAGTGGCTTGATTAAGTTCTCTAAGACTCGTGGCTGGAGCGATAGGACAGTGGGTAGGGTATGTGCCTTGCACGCAGCCGACCTGGGTTCAATTCCCAGCATCTCATATGGTCCCCCAAGCACCGCCAGGAGTAATTCCTGAGTGCAGGGCCAGGAGTAACCCCTGAGTATCTCCAGCTGTGACTCAAAAAGAAAAAAAAAGTTCTCTAAGATGCAGTTGATTCAGAAATGTAAATATTTCAGACAGAAATCCCTGGATGCCAAATCTTTAGACAATTAGTATCCCACAGAATGGTGATATGAGACAGGGTAAGGCTCTCCAGGCCTCACCCAGGGACATTTTGTTGCTGTTGTTGCTTGGTTAGGTTTTTATATCTTTGAGTGACACCTAACAGTGCTCAGGCTTTTTCCTGGATCTGTGCTCAGAGATCACTCCTGGTAGTGCTCCTGGACCATATGCAATATCCCAAGCACTGGACCTAAGTCAGCTGTGTGCAAAGCAAGCCTCTCACCTGCTGTGCTATTTCTCTGACCTCTCCCCCAGGGATGTTTTTAGTCAAGTTTTAGTAAGTTCCACAATTGAATGTCTGTTTTAAAAAATTTATTTCCAGAACTTGCCATAAGTATCCTTATTCAAGAGAAAAAGATTGTCAAGAGAGGGGATAAAATTGCTTATGGACTTGAACACCACATTTGTCAAGAGCATTTTCTGACTATTCCCAACAAATATGTACTAGCAATTTTTCAAAGGAGTACTATTCAAAATGCACAAAAATATTCTCGATTTTGTGTATTACACAAAATATTATTTTCTTCCATTCCACCTATAATTTATTAAAGAGCTCTATAACTCATTCCAATATTTGGAAATGTGTGATTACCAGAGATGGCCTAATGAGTTTACTGTTGACTAATAGCACAGGGAGGAATACCAAACTTACAGAAAGATTTTGTACTCAAAATCAGGTCTCTGTGTGAATATTAATTTTATTTTTCATAATAACATTTACATCAAGTTTTCTTTGGAAACACCCCTGCTGGAACCAGCACATACTGCCAGGAGTATAGGAATATATTAAACATTCTTGGTAAAAGGCACTTCAGTTAAAATCACCATAAATTATATGTTCTATTAACTACCAAAGAACCATACATTACTGAAATGAGATTAACTACCAAAAAGATCACATGACCCTGGCAGGGCAGGAGTGATGACATAGTGGGTAGGGTGCCTACCTTGCATATAGCGGACCTGGGTTTGATCCCTGGCACCCCATATGGTCTCCTGAGCCCTGAACCACTGGGTGTGGCCCCAAAATTCAAAAATGAAAAAGGGAAAGAAAAAAGAAAATTACTGTGGCTACTAAGTTTGTTGAAAAAGCTTTCCACTTGTGCTTACCGTTTATTCACTATTACTCACTACCATTTGGGGCTGGAGCGATAGCACAGCGGTAGGGCGTTTGCCTTGCACACAGCCAACATGGCCGACCCGAGTTTGATTCCTCCGCCCCTCTTGAAGAGCCTGGCAAGCTACTGAGAGTATCTCGCCCACACGGCAAAGCCTGGCAAGCTCCCTGTGACGTATTTGATATGCCAAACACAGTAACAGCAAGTCTCACAATTTGTTGTGAGATGTTACTGGTGCCCGCTCGAGCAAATCGATGAACAACGGGAGGACAGTGACAGTGCTACTCACTACCATTTATACACTATTAAAGAGATTAGTTATAACTCTTAGTTACATTTAATAGAATGAAATTACTTAAATTCAATTATAATTACTTAAGCAAAGCAAGAAGTTTGCTGGCATATCTGACTGCAAAGTATAGGACACACCCCAAACTAAGCTGGGTCCACAGGTTTCCACAGTATCACCAGAACTCCAACTGTCACTTTCTCAGATTTGCAAGGCTTACTCCATGAGCATGATAATTCTTTAAGTAGCCTGAGACTCACATTCAAGAAGCTTAGCTACCATAGCACAAAAGGTACAGACTCAGTAGGATGGCAGCTTCTAATGTGAGGGCATCAGGGGCTCTGTGGATTTACTCCTGAGTGAAACAAGCACAACTGCTGAAAATTATTTCTCAACCAATTGTTTAGAGTCTCTGGAAAATGTCCGAAGGGCCTAAGTAAGTGAAGAAAGAGATTCCTCATTCAAGAAAATCTACTCAAAGTTGGTCAGAAAGAATGAGACTTTGATATTTGAACCATGACCTACACCCACCCTCTGTCCTTTCAGCAGGATGCAAATTGAACTCCAGACAGTTTGGGAGGACAAAGCGATCCTATGCCCACAGCTCCCTGTTGAGGAAGACAGGCGTTTCCTTGGAAGAGGCAGGCATTTTTCATCTCATCTGTTACAGAACTTAAATGCCAAGCAACTGTGGCAAATGGGTCAGGGACGTCATGAAGAGGAAGCTAGTACCTGTGGAGAGCAATGAGCTCAGTGATAGACTACTTCATTTGGGAGGGAAAAAGACAATTAAGTTTCCCTTCCTTCCCATCTGACTACTGCTTTTTCTCCTAGTAGGAGAAAATACTGGCTATGCTTGTGGGATAGAGTAAAATTGCCATGATCTGCAGAGGCAGGATTTCTTTGTGTTCTTCTCCTAATGAAATGGCTGAACAGAAGAAAAACAGAAATTTCCTTCTTGCATCAGAGCCAAATTCAAAGAATGGCCTGAAAAACTGCCTCTGTGGGTGGCTTTAATGAATTAATTGGATCACACTGAATCAAGCTGATCAAATCAAGCTATCAAGATACTAAATAATAGGGAGGGCTCGCTACCCAGAGTTCCTGCCATATGTTATCTAAGTCATCCTATAATATATCATCAAGTGCATATGAACTATCTAAATTTGCAACAAAATGTCATGTCACACAGGAAGCTAGTACCTGTGGAGAGCACTGAGCTCAGTGATAGATTACTTCATTTGTAAGGGAAAAAGACAATTAAGCTTTTATTTTTTGTTTTTGTTAAACTTTATTTTATTTTTTTATTATTTTTTTAAATTTTTTTGCTTTTTGGGTCATACCCGGCGATGCTCAGGGATTACTCCTGGTTCATGCACTCAGGAATTACTCCTGGGGGACCATATGGGATGCTGGGAATCAAACCTGGGTCAGCCATGTTGGCTGCGTGCAAGGTAAACGCCCTACCCGCTGTGCTACCGCTCCAGCTCCTAAACTTTATTTTAAAATGTTATTTTAGGAGGCCAGAGCATTAGTGCAGTGGGAAGGATGCTTGCCTTGCATGCTGCCAACCCAGGTTGCATTCCTGGCGCCCTGCGAGTTTCCTTTGAGCCCACCAGGAGAAATTCCTGAATGCAGAGCCAGGAGTTTTCTCTGAGCATCATCACTGCATGTCCCCCTCAAAAAAAATTATTTTATGCACCATGGCTTACAAAACTATATTTTTTGTTTGTTTTTGGTTTGGGGCGATACTTGGCTGTGCACATGAAAGACTCCTCGCGGTCTTGGGGTACCAGGGATTGAATCCTAGTCAGCCACATGCAAGGCAGACAGCATACCTGCTAGACTATCTCTCCATCCCCACAGAACTGTTAGGTTTTAGGTTTCTTACCTAAAACATTTCAGTATCACAATCTCCAGGATGTCCATTTCCCACCACCATCATTCCCTTTGCCCTCCAACTTGGTAAACTTCCTTCTGAAGACCAGTTCCTTTGGACATTTGCTATTCCCCTACTATGATTCCTTATATCCCATATATGAGATCCTTCTTTATCTGTCCCTCTCCTGACTAAGGAGACTTCACTCAGTGTGATACTCTCCACGTCCATCCACACAGCAGAAAATTGCATGATTCCATGTTTTCTTATAGCTGAGTAGTTTTCCATTGTGTATATTTCTTATACATTTTCTTTATCCAGTTATCTGTTCTTGGATATTTAGACTATTTTAGGATTTTGGCTCTTGGAATAGTGCCAAAATGGTGCAATGAACATAGGATTCAGAAGCACCGTTTTGTTTTTTTTAAGTTGACTGAGATTCTGTGGTTTACAGTACTATTAATCATGATTCCTAAAAATAAATCACTGTATCACTGTTACTGTCCTCCCGTTGTTCATCGCTTTGCTCGAGCAGGCCCAGTAATGTCTCCATTGTGAGACTTGTTACTATATTTGGCATATTGAATACGCCACAGGGAGCTTGCCAGGCTTTGCCGTGCGGGCGAGGTACTCTCAGTAGGCTGTCTGAGAGAGGTGGAGGAATTGAACCCAGCTCGGCCAGGCTGGAGGCACACAAGGTAAATGCCCTACTGCAGTGCTATGGCTGGATAGCAGGTAGGGCATTTGCCTTGCACACGGCCGACTCGGGTTTGATTCCTCCATCCCTCTCGGAGACCCTGGCAAGCTATGGAGAGTATCCCGCCCGCACTGCAGAGCATGGCAAGCTCCTCGTGGTGTGGCGTATTCGATATGCAAAAAACAGCAACAATAAGTAAATAAATAATGGTTTCTCATGCACATAATTCTAACACCACCCTCCTCATCAGTGTATCCACTCCCATCCCCCAAGGTCCTCAATGCCTCTCCCCCTGCCACCAGCCTAATGGTGTTGACCAATTATCTCATTATGTTGTCAAAGGCATACATTGCCTGTGAAATATAAACTGCACATGAAGAGGCCCAAAGTCAGATTTAGTAGGAAAATAGTTCAAAATTATCTTATAAATGCTTAAGCAACAAAGAAAACCATATTAAAAAGACAGAAGGTGGGGCTAGAGTGATAGTACAGCAGGTAGGGTGTTTGCCTTGCCTATGGCCAACCCTAGTTTGATCCCCAGCCACATAGCCAGCCCTAGTTTGATACCCGGCACCTCATCTGGTCTCCCTGGCACTGACAGGACTAACCTCTGAGTGCAGAGCCAAGAGTAAGCACTGAATACTGGCAAGTGTAGCCCAAAAATCAAGAAAGGAAAGAAGGAAAGAAGGAAAGGAAGAGGGAAGGAAGGAAGGAAGGGAGGGAGGAAGAGAAAGATAAAGGCTATGAGTGATGACAGTGCCTCATAAAGTAGGGAACACTGTAAAAAAAGATAAAAATTACATATACAGGCTGACAGCTGAAAGGGTCCCCTGAGCAGCATGAATGCAACCCCGCAACTCCTGAGCACTGCCAGATGGGGCCTCCCCAAAACAAATAAAAAGACTATAAAGCGGGGCAGATAGCTTAAAAAGTTACATATAAAACGATAGAGGCAAATGGATGTTCTGGAGTTGAAATTTACAACTGAAATAAAAAAAATATCCTTAAATGATTCACAGTAGATAGGAACCAAAAGAAGAATCAACAAACTTGAAGATAAAACTATGAAGAGAGAAAAAAAAAACAAAAAACAAACAAACAGAACTATGAAGAGCTCCACATATCATTTACATTTCCTGCCCGGAGGGATCCAGAAGCAAAAAAGACAGTAGTAAACTCTAAGCACAGCCAGGTGTGGCCCTCCCCAAAAACAAACATTTTTTTTAAAATTTAAAAATAGAACAGTTCCCAAGATTACTGCAAATACTTGACAATCCAGCAAAACAACTTTCATTTTCTTTTCTTATATGAAACAATAATTTAATGAAAATAAATAGTAATGTTTATTGTTTAGAATTTATTATTACATGAAGAGTTAGGATTACAAATATCAGGTAGGAAAAAGCAAATAATAAAAATTCTGGGATTTTTAAGTCATGGGGTATGTTTTTAAGTCATTCCCCATGATGCTCAAGGGTTGCTCCTGGTTCTACACTCAGTAATCACTCCTAGGATAATCTCCTGTATTGGCCACAAGCAAGACAAGCACCTTGCCTGCTGTACTATGTATGTCTTCAGTACCTGGGATTTGTATTTTAATGGAGTATACCACTTCTGTGATGGAATAAATTTACATTGTCTTAACACTTAGCAAAACCTTTTTTTTTTCTTTTTGGGTCACACCCGGCAGTGCTCAGGGGTTACTCCTAGCTTTGCACTCAGGAATTACTCCTGGCAGTAATCAGGGGACCATATGGGATGCTGGGAATTGAACCCGGGTCGGCCGCGTGCAAGGCAAACACTCTACCCGCTGTGCTATCTCTCTAGCCCCATCAAAACCATTTTAAAGTGAAAGCGAAATACTGGCAGATGTCCCTACAGACAGTACTAAAGGAAGTCCTTTAGCTGAAATTAATGATCCATTTACTTAAGGTCACATTCCAAAAATAAGAGCGCAGCAGGTAAGGACATTTGCCTTGTACACAGCTGACATGGGTTCGGTCCCCAGCATCTCACATAATTCCCCATGCACCACCAGGAGTAATTCCTGAGTGCAGAGCCAGGAGTAAGCCCTAAGCATTGCCAGGTGTGACACAAAAAGCAGTAATAATAATAATAATAAGGTAAAGGTAAAGGCCCTCCCGTTGATCGTCGATTTGCTCGAGCGGGCCCAGTAACGTCTCCATTGGAGACTTTGTTGTTACTGTGTTTGGCATATCGAATACTCTCGGTAGCTTGCCGGTCTCTCCAAGAGGGGCGGAGGAATCGAACTCGGGTTGGCCATGTTGGCCGCTTGAAAGGCAAACGCCCTACCGCTGTGCTATCGCTCCAGTCCACCAAGTTCGTACTAAGCGCACTAAGTTCGGCATCAATAATAATAATAGTAAGGATAATTATGTGACAGGCATAAGTGCATATTTCTTGCCCTTTAGTCACTTAATTGATTTACAACAATGCATAAAACAATACATATTTAACTATTTTGAGGCTCTAAGGTAGAAGGTTGGAGTGGAGAAAGTTGCATAAGAAAGCGAGAGATAGTACAACCAGTAGGGCATTTGCCTTGCATGCAGCCGACGAGGTTTGATCCCCAGCACCCGGTTTGGTCCCCCGAGTACACTAGGAGTGATTCCTGAGTGCAGACCCAGGAGTAAGCCCTGAGCATCACTGAGTGTAGCCCCCAAACCAAAAACATTAAAAGAAGAAGAAAAAAGAAAGTAACATCAATGAGGGTCATGGAAAAGGTCCTTGTGAGTTTGGTGGAGGTTTGGGATAATGTATGCACAAAAAGTATGACTAACAGTATTGTATCCCAAAATTTTAAGAAAAAAATATGCACACACACACATATATAAAATTTTTGTGTTAATTAAACCACATTCCCGTCTAAACCACTGGTGGTACAAGCCAGCATCATTGTTAAAATATGTGACCAAGTGGTGAAGCACAGGCCTTGCATGTTCCAGGTCCCAGGTTCAGTATCCGGCACTGCACGTCTCTCCAGCACTGCCAGGTGTAGCCCTGCTGGTCCCAACTACCTGTCAGGCTGCACTGCTGGAAGATTCCAGGATTGGAAAGGGCACCCACCTCCAAACACCACTGGACGTGACCCCTATGAAAAACAATGTTTGAGCACTGTAGCATCTCCCAAAGAGAACTGCACCAGCATGTCTGTGATCCCCAGTTAAATAAAATAACAGAATAAAATGTGACCGTCGTGGTCAGGAAATACAAACCCCAGCAAGCAGGAGTACGGGTGCAGTAGTGGCTCCTGGGGAACATTGCGCCCAGAGTGTGTGTGAGCACCTCAGCAGAGAGCCACCCACGGGCTCCTCTCCAGGACACCCCATTCTTATTGATGTACTT